AGGTCACATTTACTTGAAGTTAAAAATAGTTTCCACTATTTAACTAAAGGACGCTTAGGCCTAGGAACTTCAAACTTGGTATGATGATTGGTCATCACCAGTAGATGACCCCTATTGATTTTGGGGTCAAAGGTCAAGATCACATTGACCTTGTAAGTAAAAACGGTTTCAGATAAATAATTAAAGAATGCTTAGGTCTAGGAACTTCAAACTTTATTTGATGATTGGTCATGACCAGTAGATGACCCCTATTGATTTGGGGGCCAAAGGTCAAGGTCACATTCACCTTGTAAGTATAAACGGTTTCTGATCAATAACTAAAGAACACTTAGGCCTAGGAACTTCAAACGTCTTTATATGATGATTGGTCATGACCAGTAGATGACCCCTATTGATTTTGGGGTCAAGGGGTCAGTGACCTTGTACTTTAAGAATGATGGTTTCTGACCAATAACTTAACAAGTCAAGTTGCCTTGATTAATATTTTTATATTAAACTAAAAATGCTTTTGGTATACACATTTGAAGGTCTTATGTAATATAATAACTTGGCTGTCATTAATGAGGCCTACATGATTCATAAAATGTATGCATGTTTTATTTGGTGAGATTTGTAATAACTTAAATTGCTGCACACAACCTATGGGGTCACAATAAATTATTATTACCTTGTGACTAGTCATGACCAGTAGATAACCCTTATCAATTTTTTGTTCACTCAGGGTCAGAAGTCATGCACATGACTAATTGGCTGCCCATAGGGGGCATACATGTTTTACAAACATATCTTGTTCAGATAGTTTTCCATGTACACTCCAGTTTGAACAATTATAGTTGAAATTAGAATTAAAGAAAAATGAAAAATAGAATATTTATATATCTTTCCTTAAAAAACTTAATGGTCTGAGTGAAAATTCTCTGTAACTGTGGACTGGGTACAAAAATATTAATTACAAAATTGCAGGTGAAAATCATTTTTGTTTTGTTCCAACAACAAAAGTGTAAGAAATTAAAATTTATTTTTATTTATTTTTAAGCTTAAGCATGACAATAGATGTCTACTATGTTTACTCCTACGATAAATATATGGCACAATAATTTAAGGTACGGGAGTTACCTCCCTTCTGTACTTCCTGCTACTTTCGTTTTAAACGTGCGTTGTTGACAACAGAATTTTTATTTTTCAATGCAATAAAATAGAAATATATTGTATTTTTATGCTCAAAACATCCCTTTTTAAATATCAAATGTTTACACTTCAATTTTTTACGCTTTTGTTTTGACATACAACACCGTGTAAATAATCCAGTAAGTTGCAGTAATGCAGGAATGTGCAAATAACGCAAGAATTGTGCAAACGTAACGCATTATTTTTTATTGTACACCAAATTGGAATAAATGAGTTAGCGCATAAGGTTTCTGAGACATTATACTTTAAACCTCATCAAAATATTTCCATGTTTATTTTTCAAGATTATTCGTGAAAATCACGACCTGACTTGTAAATTGATAGCGATTTTTATTTTCGTTGATATCTTTAAATACAATAACATACTCATAACTTTATGAATTTTTATAATCGGTGTACCTTAGACATTTTGCAATCTAGTTGAGTCATATTAATTTAAATTTAGCAGATAAAACGTAATTGAGGCCATTTTTACGAGGTAACGCCGAATTCTCATTAAAAGTAGCTAAATCTTATTCTACCAGCTTCCTTCTATTGTTGTAGTATATTGTAGTATATTTGTAGTTTGACAAATGTCTTGGGTATATACAGAATACGAAAAAATAAATTTTAAATGTGTTAATTAGATGTATATAATTTTATTTATATGATGAAACACAAAAGTTACCTTCAAAACAGTAATCTGAGGTTGTCTTTCTCACAATTGATCTTAGAGAAAGTAAACAAATCCAGAAAAAAATTGTTATGCTAGTTAAAGTAATGTACTGGTTGACCTTATTGCTTCATAACAATTAGAGAAAGGATGTTTTATAAGTAAATAAGTATTTATAGTTTATTGAAAGTTGTAACAATGTCTATAATAATCATTATCAATTAATCATATAAGCAGGCCTAGGTCATATATTTCATATACCAAAATAAATTGGTACTTCAAATAATAAGTGATTTCCTGTAGAAGGTACAAATGTAAGATATAAGTTACCAAATTTAAGTTTTATTTTGTCTTTTATACTGCTTTTATATATGAAATTTGTTCTCGTTCTCATCCATTAATATGACATGCTGCGAATCACTGAATGGGAAACCAATATATGACTTTACATAACAGAAATCAAACGGAATTCTTGCATCTTAATTTATTATTAGCTATAAATCGAAGGGATTAATTGATAAAAATCATGTCCATGGACAAAAAATAATAGTCGACACAAATAGCTTGGCGCCTGTGGGCGCGGAGCATAAACCATTTGAAAGTAAAATCATTTAATTAACTCAGGTTTTCAACGAAAACCGGGTTATTGTAATGCCGAAGTCGGCGGCGGGCGGGCCGGGCGGGGCGTCAACTTTTTGGTTTCCGCTCAATAACTTTAGTTTGCTTTGGGCTATTGACACCAACTTGGTGTGTAGGTAGCTTATATCAAGAGGCAGCTTGGGATTGCTACCCAGGTGTCTGTGATCAAGGTCAAGGTCACTGTAACTAAAAATAGGAAATTCAGTTTCCGCCTCATAACTTGAGTTTGCTTTGGCCTATTTGACACCAAACTTGGTGGTATGGATAGCTTATATCAGAGGCAGCTTGGGATTGCTACCCAGCGTGTCTGTGATCAAGGTCAAGGTCACTGTTACTAAAAATAGAAATTCAGTTTCCACTCAATAAAACTTGAGTTTGCTTTGGCCTATAAACACTGTAACACACCAAACTTGGTGTATGGATAGCTTATATCAAGAGGCAGCTTGGGATTGCTACCCAGTGTGTTCCTGTGATCAAGGTCAAGGTCACTGTTACTAAAATATGAAATTCAGTTTCCGCTCAATAAAATTGAGTTGCTTTGGGCCTATTGACACCTAAACTTTGGTGTATGGATAGCTTATATCAAGAGGCAGCTTGGGGAAATTGCTACCCAGAGTGTCTTGTGGATTCAAGGTCAAGGTCACTGTTACAAAAATAGAAATTCAGTTTTCCACTCAATAACTTGAGTTTGCTTTGGCCTATACACTGTAACACACCAAAACTTGGTGTATGGATAGCTTATATCAAGAGGCAAGCTTGGGATTGCTACCCAGGTGTCTGTGATCAAGGTCAAGGTCAACTGTTAACTAAAAAATAGAAATTCAGTTGCCGCTCAAAAATAACTTGAGTTTGCTTTGGCCTATTGACACCAAAAACTTGGTGTAAATGGATAGCTTATATTCAAGAGGCAGCTTGGGATTGCTACCCAGGTGTCTGTGATTTCAAGGTCAAGGTCACTGTTACTAAAAATAGAAAATTCAGTTTCCACTCAATAACTTGAGTTTGCTTTGGCCTATTGACACCAAAACTTGGTGTATGGATAGCTTATATCAAGAGGCAGGTTGGCAGTGCTACCCAGGTGTCTGTGATCTAGGTCAAGGTCACTGTTACTAAAAATAGAAATTCAGTTTCCGCTTAATAACTTGAGTTTGCTTTGGCCTATTGACACCAAACTAGGTGTATGGATAGCTTAGATCAAGAGGCAGCTTTGGATTGCTAACCAGGTGTCTGTGATCAAGGTCAAGGTCACTGTTACTAAAAATAGAAATTCAGTTTCCGCTCAATAACTTGAGTTTTGCTTTGGCCTATTTGACACCAAACTTGGTGTATGAATAGCTTATATCAAGAGGCAGCTTTGGGATTGCTACCGCAGGTGTCTGTGATCAAGGTCAAGGTCACTGTTACTGAAAAATAGAAATTCAGTTTCCACTCCAATAACTTGAGTTTGCTTTGGCCTATACACTGTAACACACCAAACTTGGTGTATGGATAGCTTATATCAAGAGGCAGCTTGGGATTGCTACCCAGGTGTCTGTGATCAAGGGTCAAGGTCACTGTTACTAAAAAAATAGAAATTCAGTTGCCGCTCAATAACTTGAGTTTGCTTTGGCCTATTGACACCAAACTTGGTGTATGGATAGCTTATATCAAGAGGCAGCTTGGGATTGCTACCAAGGTGTCTGTGATCAAGGTCAAGGTCACTGTTACTAAAAAAATAGAAATTCAGTTTCCACTCAATAACTTGAAGTTTGCTTTGGCCTATTGACACCAAAACTGGTGTATGGATAGCTTATATCAAGAGGCAAGGTTGGCAGTGCTACCCAGGTGTCTGTGATCTAGGTCAAGGTCACTGTTACTAAAAATAGAAAATTCAGTTTCCGCTTAATAACTTGGAGTTTGCTTTGGCCTAATTGACACCAAACTAGGTGTATGGATAGCTTAGATCAAGAGGCAGCTTTGGATTGCTAACCAGGGTGTCTGTGATAAGGTCAAGGTCACTGGAACTTAAAAATAGAAATTCAGTTTCTGCTCAATAACTTGAGTTTGCTTTGACCAATTGACACCAAACTTGAATGAATGGGTAGCTTAAATCAAGAGGCAGCTTGGGATTGCTACCCAGGTGGTCTGTGATCAAGGTTAATGTATTTAGTTTTCATGTTATAACTTGAGTTTGCTTTTGACCTTTTCACACCAAACTTGCTGAGTGGCAGCTTTGGATTGCCCACTTAGATATCTGAGAGCAAGGTCTAGGTAATTTGCTTACAATAGAATTTTTAGTATCTACTCAATAACTTCAGTGCACTTTGACCTATTGATTGCTGTCACATCAAACCTTGGTCGTTGAAAACCTTGTTTTCGTCGCATTGCGGCGCTTCTTGTTATGTTTCATGTTAAGATATTGGTAACTTTCCATGCCTTTCACTTTACTTGATATTTTGGACTTAATAATGCAATCCAAGACCTTGTTTACTTATTTATATAAAATATAAACATAAATTATTTTGTTTTTTGTTTTGTTTAGATATTGATTGATCAGGATGACACATCAACTTCAGTTAGAGAAGGAAAAATACAGACAGTGGGTAAAGGCTGGTTTAGGACTTGGATATTTAAAGGAGGGACTGGCACCATTCTGTAATGACATAGCTGACCAACAACATAAGGATATTTTACAAACCATTCGCTCTACAAAATCAATACCATCAACTGTGACATGTTGCAGCTGTCAAGTTGAAACTCTCAAACCAGACCATAAGCCAGTACCTGGGAATGCTGGAAACAAAGTTTGTCCTCTTGGGCAAGTAAAATGCATCTGTTGCTTTAAGGGCAAAATTGCTTGTCCGAGCAACATATGTGGCGCCATCTATGACTATATTGTGCAGCATCATGCTTCCTCACCACCTGCACCTAACTGGAAAATCAGTGATGCTCAACAGTGGGTGACAGATCCTTGGAGCATTTGCAAGTGTTTTATTAATGCTCAAGGGTACGAACAGACGCAATCTGCTGGTGAATGTGATTGTACTGGGTTATTACATCTAATGATAAATAACCAGTATTTTCATAGCCACGTTGGATGCAATGTCACAGGAACAAACAACCTTTTTTCAAAGGTAAATAATTAATCAAATGTCTTCTACTAATCGGCTCTACTGTAATGTTAATGCTGTATATTCAGCATTAAAGTTAAAGGGAAAATGAAAATTTAACTTATGAAGGTAACGAATATAAATATAAAAATTCACCAATCGTTTTTGTTGCAAACTTTCTTGTAACAATTCACATTTTTAGGCTTGTGGTTAATATTTACTGTAAACATGTATAATTGTAGATTTGTATATAGAATTATTTATATTAACAGGCCTTTTCCCCTATCCCATGGGTCCAAATATAGGCCCTTTTATCAATCCAAACTTTGTTCTTTTTTCCCAATCAAAGAAAAATCCCAGTGCCGAGGTCGGTGATTTGAAAAAAAGGTACCACATATTTGAATTTGGTGTAAAGGTTCTGGCCCTTTTGGATATCTTTTAATTTCTGATCAGTTTCAAAAAGATTTATTAAGCTTTGTTTAAAGAATTTTAACATCTTTAATGCTGGCCTTTTTTTCCAAAATAATAAATTTCACAATTTCTTTTCCCAAATTGAATAAAACATTGAGACGCAATTTTTCCAAATTTTCCATGTGGCATTTTTTCCCAAAATAAAGGAAAAATGCCTGGTATAATTCATGATTGCATCTTTTATGTAGGTAAGTACCTAATCAGTTTTCTACAAAACAATTTGGATTGTGCTTAACACAGCATATTTATGCAATGAACAATATTGAACCTGTGTTTTCTATTCCATAGGTGCGTCAGTATAGAAATAGTATTTTCCACTCAAGCAGTATGGAATTAGAAGAAAGTGAAGCAAATACTTACTTAGATGATATGATAGCGGTTCTGCAAGATGGTAAAGAGCTATTACAACGATCAGATGCCCAGATAGCGGTGAAGAAACTTCAAGATGTAAGTGTAAATAATGAATTTTATCAGTTTGAAATCTTTATTGAGTCAACTTATAATGATTTAAAATAACAAACCACTAAATTCAAGACAAAAGTTTCGTAAAAGAGTTTGAAGATGTAAAGTCAAATTCAAAAAGATAATCCCCTTAAGTAAATTGATAAAGTCACATAAAAATGTATATGTACCTATGAAATGTTAAATTATCAACAAAATAGATCTTAGTTTGTAAGGGACTTCTGTATTCCAAAAACTTTGAAATTCGAACAATTTTCAGGGTCCTGAAATTCTATATAATTTATACCTTTGAATTGGAGGACTTCTAAATTCTGATATTCTGGTAAAGTTTGGATTATATGAATAAAAAAATTACTTCCAATATCCAGAAATAGAAAACGGGTGTGAAGGATTATCATACTTGAGAATAAAACCTGCAAAATATTTGTACCTTCCAATTATACCTTGACCCCTATTAGAACATCAACCTTTCAAACATGTCAATTTCTTGATTTAATTGAAGGCTTAAAATAAAGTCTGACCTTATATATAATATGTTGTTTAGAAAAGTAAATATTATAAATCATTTGAATGCATTTTTTATGAAAGAAAATGTTATAAAACTGATATTTTTCATCAGCTGAAGAAGAAGGACTTCATTATGACTACTGAAGGCTTTGAAGAAATTCTTAGACAAATAAGAGACGAAATGGCAAAAGTTCTAAAATCGACAGAAAATGCTGCAACTAAAGAGGAGTATGATGATCTGAAGAAGAAGCTAATAGACCTTGAAGCTAAGATGTCTGACAAAGAGGAGGGAAGACTGGAAAATGAAAAAGAACTTGCAGAACTAAAGAAAACAATTACAGATCTTGAATCACAGATGTGTAAAGAAAAGAAGGAAAAGCTTGAGATGGAAATTGAGCAAGTTAAATTGAAAAACAAACTTACAGTACTAGATACTCTTGTTAAAGAACAGAAAGAGGTAAAATAAATTTCTTTCTGCTTGTTAACTGTATGATGTATTTTTACACATGCATCTGCATCTTGGCATTAAAAAAGATAAAAATATGAGAATTGTAAAAAAACGATTTTATGATTTAAGTTCTTGTGGCAATATTGTTCTAGTACTGTACCTGTTTAACTGGAAAAGGCAACCAAGTTCATCCCATGTACAATGGGTATGAACTGTATATAGGTATTATTATCTGCTGCAAATAAATATTGTTGAATTTCAAAAATGAAAACAAAAAAAATGTTTTAGTATATTTCCTTAAGAGCATAATTATGGCACATGCATGAACTCTTTGCTTAAAGACTAAAAGCCATTTTAAAAAAGGCCACACTCAGAGGTTAGATGTTAGCATAACTTGCATACTTAAAAGCTAAATGATAGCTATTCTTGCTCATGGTGAAGGACACACTTATAGGTTTAAATGATAGCTGGCTGTGCTGGCTGATGTTGAAAGTTACATTTAAGGTTCAATTTAAGCAATGCTGGCTCATGGTGATGGTCACACTTATAGGGTGAAAGTTAGCTGTGATTGCTCATGTTTAATGTCAGACTTAAATGTTAGCTTTCTTGCTCATGGTGAAGGTCACACGTAAAGGTAAAATGATAGCTGTGCTTGCTCATGGTAAAGGTCACCTTTAAATGTAAAATGTTAGCTATGCTAGCTCATAATGAAGGTCATACTTGAAGGTTAAATGATAGCTATGCTTACTCATGATAAAGGTGACACTTAATGTAAAATGATAGCTATGCTGGCTCATGGTAAAGGTCACACTTAAAGGTAAAATGATAGCTATGCTTGCTCATGGTAAAGGTCACACTTAATGGTAAAATGATAGCTGTGCTTGCTCATGGTAAAGGTCACCTTCAAATTAAAATGTTAGCTATGCTTGCTCATGATGAATGTCATACTTGAAGGTAAAATGATAGCTATGCTGGCTCATGGTAAAGGTCACACTTACAGGTAAAATGATAGCTATGCTTGCTCATGGTAAAGGTCACACTTAATGGTAAAATGATAGCTGTGCTTGCTCATGGTAAAGGTCACCTTCAAATTAAAATGTTAGCTATGCTTCCTCATGATAAAGGTCACACTTAAAGGTAAAATGATAGCTTGCTCATTGTAAAGGTCACACTTAAAGGTAAAATGCTAGCTATGCTTGCACATGGCAAAGGTCACACTTAACAGTTAAATGAAAGCTATGCTTGCTCATGGTGTTGCTCAAATTTTAAGGTTAAATGATAGCTATATTTATTCATGGTAAAGGTCAATCTAAATGGCTTAATATCAGGTATGCTGGCTCATTGTGAAGGTAACACATAAAGGTCAAATATTAGAATATATCTTGCGAGCTATGTCTTAAAGTATTTGCTTCAATCTTTGCTCAGTTTATACAATTCAGCAATAAGAAGCATTGATTTTGTTGTCCAGGAACAGATTTTGTTATAAGATAAGGTATAAAGCTATTAACTTTGATAATCATGTTGACAAGTTATGCTTCAAATTTGAACCAACAAAATATGCAAGACTGTTTGTTCATTGAGGATTAAATAACTGATGACCTATTCCTGTCGAGAATTATCTAACAAAGAATTTTGGTTCAGTGATGAAATAGGGTGTTGTTGCACTTATTATGTTAACTTACATACATGTACATAATTCTGTAAATACTCTAGTATATATTTATTTATATTTACATCTTTAGAATATCTTTTGATTAGTTTTGTACTACAAAGTCTTTTTTGGAGTAAAGAAGATGAGTTGTTTTTGCAGGAGATGGCAAAACTTAAGACAGAAACTTCCTCAGGTCAAAGTCAGGCGGATTATGAGCAAACCAAGTTAGGTGAGTAAATATTTGTGTTGACCGTATACACATCATGACATTTTCCTTAATGTAAAAAAGCTCTAAAGTTTATTATTTCAGGAATTCATATAATGATTACAATTTAAGTACTTCGGCTGATATTATATAATTAAATTTATGCTATGAACGTTAAATTAAACCCTACCACATAATGTGGTTGTGGTCAACTTGAATCAATTTGTGGCAATGTTTGGTCCATCTCCATATTGTCCACTCTATAAATCCTAAACCCCTTTGAAATTTTTAGTTCACCTGTCACAAAGTGACATGGTGAGCTTTTGTGATCGCTTTTCGTCCGGCGTCCATCTTTCTGTAAACTTTTACTTTAAACGACATCTCCTCATAAACCGCTAAGCCAATTTCATCTAAACTTCACAGGAATGTTCCTTTGGTAGTCAACTTTAAAAATTGTTCAAAGAATTTAATTCCAAGCAGAACTCTGGTTGCCATGGCAACTGAATGAAAAAACTTAAAACAGCTTCTTTCAGAAAACTTTAAAATCTAGAGCTTAAAATATGGCATGAAACATCATGTAGTCAGTGTCTACCAAATTTCCTTATTTGTATATAGTAAAAACTTAAAAAATCTTCTTTTGAAAAACCCAAATAGCTAAGAGCTTAGCTATTAAGCATGAAACATCTTCTAGAGGGTGTCAACCAAGTTTGTTCAAATAAAAGCCCTGGGATCAAAATTGGCCCTGCCCAAGGGGGTCATTATTTTCCTTTTATGTATATATAGTAAAAACTTTAAAAATCTCTTTTAAAAAACCTTTAGAGCTAGAGCAAAGATATTTAGCATGAAACATCTTCTAATGGGTGTTTACCAGTTTTGTTCAAGCAAGGGCCCTGGGGTTAAAATTGGCCCCGCCCTGGAGATCATTGATTTTCTTTAAATGTATATAGTAAAATCTTAATAAACCTTTTGATAGAAAACCCAAAGAGCTAGAGTTTAGATAAAGAATGAATTATCTTCTAGTGAGTGTCTGGTGGGTGTCTACCAAGTTTGTTCAAATAAAAGCCCTTGGCTCAAAATTGGCCCCGTCCCAGGGGGTAATTGTTTTTCCCTATATGTATATATAGTAAAAACTTTAAAAATCTTTTTTAAAAAAACCTTTAGAGCTAGAGCAAAGATATTAAGCATGGAACATCTTCTAATGGCTGTTAACCTTTTTTGTTCAAATAAGGCCCCTGGGGTTAAAATTGGCCCGCCCTGGGAATCATTGATTTTCCTTATATGTATATAGTAAAAACTTAAAAATTTGGACCAGGTTTGTAAATTCTGATGCTGAAATGAATTTTGATATAAACTGGCCTACTTTTCATATTTTTTACAACGTTTGACCTATTGTTTTTTTTTTGAGGTACAGTTATGTTACCATAAAGAATGTATAAAATATTTGTTGTCTCAAACTGTAAACTTCAAACATCTACACCTTATATGTTTTGCATGTGACATTTTGTGTTTTCATTCAAAAATGTTATAAAAAAATTGTCCAGTCAAAATAAGTACTAATCCTGCTCTAGTGGTCATTTATTCTGCATTTATTCTACATAGTCTCCTAGGAACACACTTGCAACATACATATTTTTAATAAAGCCTTTCCAAAATATTAGGGCAAAATATTACAATTTATATAGTGAATAATGAAATGATGGGTTAGATGAGTGATCTAAGGCCATCTTAGTGGCCCTATTGTTTATTATGAAGAAAAAAAGCTAAAACGATCAGTGTTGTGAAAGTATATTACAAGAGGGGCAAGTTAAAGTTGAGCTGAACTTGCCGAAAGAGCTGGACTTGCCTTTCAGCAAGTTCATTTGAAAAATAATTTCCAACACTGAAAAGCAGTTGTTTCTGGTGAGCAACTCGGGGCCATTATGGCCATCTTGGTCATTTTAGGGTGAATTATCACTATTTAGCTTGTCCCAGATGTGCATTAATGTCTAAAATACATTTGATAGTAACACTGATATAAAAAGGATCTACATTAATATTGTAAGCTAAGTCAATTTATTGATAAAAAGTTTATTCCACAATTTCTTTGTTCAACTCTGAAGAGCACTTAATTTGCTATATTTAACAAAAGAAAGTTCCACAAAATGCTCTTGTCACTAGTTTTCGCGACTGTCAGGATTTAAAGCCAAAATGCGAACTGAAATCAGCCTGTCATGGCTAGTTATATAGACTCTGAAATGGCCAGGACTGTCACAATTGACCAATCATAACATTCCATTTACCCTGGCAGTCTGGCAGGAAAGACAGGAATTTCTTAAAATGGCAGCCATATTGACAGGAATAATTTAGAAAATGTAAATTAACAAAGTAAACAAATAACAACATATGCAATGAACACTTGAATTACATGCTTAACTTAATGAACTTAATATCTGGACCAAAAACAATTATGGTTATAGCTTAGAAAAATGAACAATTGATATAAAAAGATTCCAAGTGCCAGGAATTTGAATTTTCCCTCCTGACAAACTTAGAGGTCATACCGGTCATCAAGATTATTATAAAATACAGCAATGCCAGCTAACTAATTGGAAAGTAACTTATGTCTTAGGTAAATATGGATTATATTCTATGTTCTTACGTGTAAAATGATAAGAATTTGTTTATGTTTATGAAAATATCAGCATTTAAAGTTTTGAATCAAGGTAGACAACTCTTATCGGCCATTTTGATGCCAGGATAAACAAAGTAGTAAATTAATCATTTCTTGAAGTATTAACCTCCTTATAGTGCCTTATATAGTCCTAAAGCCTCAGAATGTCCTACATCATGGTCTCAATTCCTTCATTTACCAGAAGATTATCTAAACAAATAAAATCAGGAAATATGAATGGCTGAGGCAAGTTCAGGAATCCTGACAGGTCAAGTTCAGGAATCCTGGCAGGTAAGTTTTACGCATTGACTGAACAGTATTACCTCACTTGTCAATGAATTTTATGCAGTAAAATATTTTATGGGCGAAATGGTTTAAGTTAGTTTTTAAGTTAGTGATGTACAACAGCCGTTGTCCGTATTCATCTTTATCAGTTGCGCAGCGTAATTTCCCTGCGCGTGCTTTCCCTGCGCATGCGCTCTTATCAGCGTCACATGCTGTAAACAAAAGAATTCATATATTTTTGTTAGCTTTAATTTCACGATTTTCATCGTAGCATTGCTTTTACCTCCACCTCCCATTTCCTCCACCCAATATTTAGTGTAGATTATTTTCAATGTCTAAATTTTATTCTTCATGTTAATTTTGGCATAATCAAATATTTTACTTGTGACAAAATCAAATATTTATTGTTACTGTATGTTTTGTGATTCTAGTCTTATGCAAGGCGTATTTTTATGCCCAGATAAAACATAATAACATTTTATTGTGTACTATTTCTACATGTTCTAGTCATAAAATCTAAAGGTGCACTGTATAATTTATAAACCGGCTTTAATAAAAGCCCAATTACAACTTACTCATTTGTTTGTCTTTATTTATTATGTTTCACAAGCTTCGCAAATTCTAGAACCTCGTTTTATTGGACCACTTAATGCTGGCCATAAATAAATTATGCTAGTTTGATGTTCAAATTGTCATAAAGCATATTTTGTTTTAAACTGATATACCTTTAAAATTGTTCAAAGAATTTAATTCCATGCAGAACTCTTATTCCTTATATGTATATAGTAAAAAAACTTCTTTTAAAAAACCCAACGAGTTAGAGCTTAGATATCTGGCATGAAACATCTTCATTTGTGTAATTGTTTTGTTTGTTTATGCTTTATTATATATCTGTGAGTCACTCATTAGTGTGTTTATACTATATTATAATTTTAGAATGGCAGAAAGAGATGATAGCATCATACTGTAAGAATTTGCTAAAAGTACCAGCAATGCCTTTACTACCACGAGGTCAGAAATGTAACTTCAGTGAGATTTATGTTAGGCCCACTATAACAAGAGAAATAAAAGGAGAGAAAGGGGAGACAAAGGAGATTAAGATCAAGTCAATGTCAGATATCTTCATAAAGAATGGTGTGCCTTTGAAGCATATATATGTTCTTGGAGATGCCGGGTCTGGTAAGAGTAGTTTCTGTAAATATTTGGTCAACTGTTGGTGTAAAGCACACAATGATGAACAAAATGTAAAAGATGAGTTTGATGAGGTTAAGGAAATGAAGAAATTTGATTTCATGTTTTATATCTCGCTTAGATATAATCAAGACATAGACAGTGTCCAAGATATGATTAAAAATCAGTATGATATTGACATTTCAAGCCCAAATCACAAAAAGGAATCTGCAAAGATCATAATATTGCTTGATGGCTTAGATGAATGGTCTTCTGAAAGAAAGTCCTACAATCAGTTCCAGACAATGGGGCTCCCAAAACAGGATGTTAATAAAGACTACACAATCATAACTACATCACGGCCATGGAAAGTTCACACCTTGGGAATAAGTGAGACAGAAATTGAACAATTACTGAATCTAAAAGAGTTTGATTTGAGATGTGAGTGGGAAATGGTAGGAAGAACTGTCTCGCAGTTAAATTCCATTAGGCATGCCAGTAAACTTGCCTGGGTTTGTAAACAAAAGCTAAAAGAAAAGTCTCTGAAAAGTTTAAAACAGGTACCAATTATGCTACAACAACTGATATGTCTATGGTTTGATGGGAAACTCGATAAAACCTCAAGATGTGCCATCTACACCGGTATGTTAGAACTTTTCTTTACATGGAATGACATGAAAACTACAAGAACAAGTACTCGACTCATGAAGGGTGCTCAGAAAGTAGATCTTCCTAAATACTTAGCCAATAGAAACATATTAAGATTAAACAGCCATTTCATTTATGAAGTATCACAGTTGGCTTATGAGACACTATTTAATTGTCCAAAGGATAAATCCTTGATATTTGACATTTGTATGTTTGATGATCTAGAAATATCAGCTGAAGTAAGAGAAAATGGCTTGAAACTTGGAATAATTACAGAAGATGAATGTCAAAATTTTTCTGTATCAGAACCACCAAGCTCATTGTTCTCTTTTATTCACAAATCAATTCAAGAATTTCTGGCTGCAGTGAATATTGGTATCAATTTCAATGCAAAAATTTGTTCATCAGATTGTACAGGAAATGATGAATTAGCCAAAAATTTTATTAATGAGGTTTTTCAGAAATGTTCAACAGTAAATGACATATTAGAACAGTCAAATGTTGTAATTATGCTATGTGGTCTTGAATCTAGATTAGCACAGCATGTTTCAAAATACATATACGATACTGTGTCAAAAGACTATCGTATTCAGGAATACAGGAGAACAATAAATACTAACATATATATCCCTATTGATTGTATTATTGATATTCAAAAGCTTTTTTTTGAGTCAATGAAAGAATTAAATGCATCATGTAGTATAGGAAGTAATCCTGTATTTTATATAGGAGATTTGGTCATTCATGATAGGGAGAATCTTGATATTGTTTGTTCAAGTATTGATCAGAAACAAATTGTTCCTTACTCTGTTCTATCTGTTAATGTAATTAGCATCAACACAGAAAATGTTAAATTTACAAAATATTTGCCAATGTTTCATCATCTTGAAATAATTGCAATAAGATATGGAATTGATTCACAAAGGTTATCAAGTATACAAAATGATAGTACACAGAGTGGTAAACAGAGGATTAATGAGATTAGCAATTGTGTTTGTGAGACAATTAAAGTAAATACTTCAACATTAAAATATCTGTCTCTTGATGATGTCTTTTACACTGACAGGTATTACCCAGATTTTAGAAACCTACCTAGTATGATCAAACTTGTAGCAATAAGAATGACTTATTTTACAATGAGTCATGATGATACTACTACATTTTGTAATTTTCTTGAGAGAACCAGCCATCTTGAACAAATACATCTTAGCTATGTTAATTGTAAGTGTAGGAACCAACATGATGTAAATTTATCTAAACATCAACAACTTCAGTACCTTCATTTATATGGTACTGTTAGTGTGATAGATGTTGATACTACAAACCTTGAAATATTTGAATTTGATAAATTGAGAGATATTAATTATGAGAATTTTTTTTATATTATTACAAAATCTAACAGATTAAAAGAACTAAAATTGACAGGAGATTATTGCAATAAATCTCAATTATATCATACCAACATAACAGAGAGACTAGTCACAGTATTACCATTGTTACACAATCTCAGTGAGCTTAACTTATATGAATGTAAGTTAACTGACAATATAATACAGTTACCTTTAGAGATGAAAAGTTTAAATAACATTAATCTTCATTGTGTAATAATGAGTTTGACAACTTGGCAGAAATTTGTTGATAGTCTTCCTCAGATTCCTCATACTGTAGATGTGAGTGTATGGCGCTGTCATATAACAGGAGATGGTGAGGCGTTTAATGATTTTAGGTCAACATTGATACATGGAGGAGGAGAGATAAAAGATGCTAAACAGTATGTAAAAGACCAGGATCAGTTAGTTCATGTTAAACGTGATGGTAATGATTTCTTTGACTTTTCAACTAAAAAGTGATAAAATTATCCAATTAGTCACATAGTGTTTGAACATTAATTGTTGTTGATTTACCTTTTCAACAAAAGAAAATGGTTTGAATTTTTAACATAGTGAGATAAAATACATGCAGTTTACATAGTGTTTGAACTGAATTATTTTATGTTAAAAGTCACAATAAATTGGTTTTTTTATTTTCATCAAAAAAGTGAAACCTATGACATTTTAGTTATTGATATATATATATATATATTGTTGTAAAGTTTGAGGATGAATATAATGCATTATGATTACAATCATCAGAAATCATTTTTTATTGAATATTGATATCTGGTCATTGTTACAAAACATTAATAATATTGAAATTGCAGAAATTTATATTCAAATTGTGTTTATTAATTAATAAATGAAAGAAAGGCAGTGAATTTACGAGAATAGATATATTAACCTTAATGAAGGTAAATGTTCTTTTCTAAAGATCAGGAATAATTTGTGAAAATAAAACTGATTTTAAAAAGTAATGTTCTAATTATAAATATATAAATAAATATAATGTATAAATTAACAAGTAAATAAATTAATGAATAAATAAATTAAATGGAAATATCATACCACAGATCCCGGGTGTAGATTTTCCAAGGTTTTTGGCTCAAAATCCTTGGAAAAAAACCTCGGAGTATTGGAACGAGAAATTTATGCAAAACTTTGCTTTTAAGAAAACCTTGGAAAAATAGGGAGACGGTATAACACCTTGTAAAAAATTTCCGAGGTTTTTTTAATAAAAAAAACCTCGTAAAAAGTATGACCTCGGAGTATTGGAACGATTTCCAAGGATTTCAGAATAAATACCTCGTAAAATAATTTCCGAGGATTTTTTTAAAAAACCTTGTAAAATTGGTGACCTAAGAGTATAGGAACGATTTCCAAGGATTTTTAAAGTGTTTCCGTGGTTTGTTTTCCAAGGTTTTCAAATGAAAACCTCGGAAAGTTTCTCAAAACTGGGAATACTGTAATTATTTCCCGAGGATTCTTACTAAAGCATCAAGATCATTTTCCAAGGTTTACTTGAGCAAAAACCTTGGAAATTTCTAGAATATCCATGGAAAATCAGAAAATATAACAACCAATGAAATATTCTGAAAAGAGCAATTATATTGTCCTTTTAAAGAATTAATAAACTTCTTTATAATAATACAGAGCAAAAAATGATCACATGACTCACTGAAACATTTAATGTCAGTGTGAAGTAAATAGTAATGCACTACAAATGAAAAATTAAGTTAGAAGTCTTTAATGGTAAATATTACACTCAATGTTCAGTTATAATTTTTTTGGTACCCGGCAAATTTATATATATTCAAATATTAATCTATTGAAGTCCTGTTCACTCTTCATGATTTTAAAGTGTCCCCAAATTTTCCCTCACCGTCACAGGGGTCACATGTGGAAAATGCTTGGATACAATTCCTGAAATAAATAAAGTTAATATTTAATAAAGTACAGCCATTGAAAGAAGTTAGAAAAAAAATTACATGTACGATATATATAATATATAATCACTACTGGGCGCAAATCCCTGTCCATGTGGTCAGGCTCAGCGACTTCAAACTTGCCTTACAACATTGTATTTTTGACTCTTGAAAACCAGGACGGGCTTCTTCCCTCTGAGGGAGCTATCCAGCCCAGGATTAAGGAACAGCTGAGGTTATACTTAGGACAGTACAGTATGTGTAGGCAATCAGAATTACATCATTTAATTTCTTTTTTATTCATCAATAAAAAAATGATACTTACCTAACGTTTCCATCTATATTATTATATATACAAAAATATCAGTTGATTTATTGTTTTAAAAGATCAGCACTTGTGTGTAAGGAAATATATCTCTTAAGTGATCCAAAACTACTTAAATGACAAGTTGTTTAGATAGCCTTTGTTTAAAATGAAGGCTTCAATATTTTCAAATGAACTTTTCTGTAGTTACTTTAAATTAATGTTTGTCTAATTTGTTTTGAAATAATGAATTTAATTTTTTTCATGTTGATTTCTATTTTTTCTTCATCTGTATTTAGTGTCAAGATTTCAAGAAAAACTTTTGTTAGCATTGTGACAATTCTGCGATGTTCAGAAAAGAAGCAACGTCTGTTACTATTATTTTAGATTGTACAACCTAAAGCACCCTAAATATATTGCAAAAAATAACGCTTTTGAACATAAGGTGATTCTGAAATGTGTTCCTGCAGCAGTAAAGCTGAAGAGTCATCTGATATTACATTTACAGCATTTCCTACAAAGTATCAATAAAAAAATCAGTTCCAGAAACCATCATTCATTCCAATTTCAAATTGAAACAGTTTCTAAACCTAGTTTTATAACAAAAACATACTGTAGTATATTCCTTGAAGCCTTTCCTGGTCTACAGTTGGCTTCCTTTGCACCAATGCCAATGACTTTCCAGTATATTCCTCTGCTTTATACTATGATAAAAGACGGCAAAGCTGGATTGCCATTTTCTTGTAGTTTGGAACACCTGCAAACTTGCTTTCAAGCTGACTCTGTTATATGAAAGTTTATGAATTATGTCATCATAGTTTTATGCACTTATCTTGTGCAATACAATCATAGACAAACATAACATTTATACTCATAAAATATCCATTAAACAATTGTATTTAAACTAGCTTACAAAGGTTAAAAATATAGATCTAAAATAGTTTGTATTTAATACTTATTTGAAGAAAAAACACAGTTTTTCTGCATAAATGTATCTAAAAGTTATTTACCTGAACCTTTTTACTATTATGTTTCTTTTGTTTATCTTCCTGTCTCAGGTCATTCATCTTTTAAGGTTCAATTACAACAACCAAACATTTCCTAAATCTTGTCACACTTTGATAAATGTTTTCTTTGAAAATTCCAAAATAGGCTCCCTAACATTTAAAACAAGATATCTCCAAAATTGCTTAAATAAATCCATGTTTCCACTATTTCCAACTATAACCACTTGACCCATTAATGTCTGAGATTCAAATTTTTCAACAGTTTATTCAGGATAGGTCCATCATAATGTGAAACAGGGGTGATCCCAAAATATCAAAGCCACCATCATTTAATTTTACATTTATTGAAGGTACAAATATATCAAATGATAAATAAATGTAAAAGTTGAAAATTTTAATGAGTTCTTAAAAGAGAATCACAGTTGCAATGTCATTTTAGACTGATTGATTTTGGAATGTATAAAAACCCAGACTCCCCCTGAATAATCACATGTAACAATCTGGTCTATCCCAGAATGCCCAATGAGAAGATTGATCATGCATAGATAGAGGAAACCACCTGGGGTGCCATTAGTTTTATCTGATCAGTGTGTTTTATTCTGTGTGTGAAATCTTAGTGGATGCAGTATTTATTTATCCTAATTATAAGAAATTATCAAGCATACTGGTTATTATATTTCAGACATTCAATTGAATATAATTATATTAAAAGGACAATTAATAACTATGACAGTCACTGTTTATTGTACACTTAAATTAATGGCAGAGTAAATTGTAATCTGAATGTATGTCACAGACTTTTTTGTAGAATAGCATAAAACATATATTAAAGGTTATAGAGCATTCTTATTTCAGTGTTGCTTACAGGCTTTCAAGAAACCCTAAGTTAAGTCTATATATAGAAAGAAACTGTAGGAAAAATACTGATGCATTTGGAAACTAATAGACTGTTTCTTTTTGTTTTATAGTTTTGCTCTTTTAATGAAGAAGATATCTAGTAATGATAATTATAAATAATAATAAAAAAAAATGAAAATATTTTTTTTAAAGTCTTTCTGATCATCAGTTTTTATTTGAATAATCTTTCTTTTATTATGATTAGATGCGATACATTTATAGCCATTAATAAATGTATTTTATGGCAACAAGGAATTTATTTAACTTTTCCATGTTTTCACACTTAAATTTTTTTAATTGATTCCTTCCAAATAAATCGCTTCAGAAATTTAAAGGACAAATTTATTGTTGGCCATGAAGTTGGCCATCAACAAATTGTCCATACTGAAAATTGATTTCCCTGGACCATGCTGTCTTGCATGGACTAACCATGGACAACTGTTTGCTCTGACCATGGATTAAATAAATATCCATGGGCAATCTACAGCCGGGTTGGTAGCTTGGTTTTAGTAAATCTGCCAGCTTTAACTGTTGATCATTGCTTTCGATGCCCATTTTAAGTTAAATCATGATTATCATTATGGCTTAACATTTTCCGAGATGAAATATAGTAAAGTACAAATTTCCGAGGTCATTTCCAAGCATTTATTTTTCCAACAAATTTACGTAAATTTTCTAAGTTCTTTTCCGAGCAAAAAAATGACAAAGTTCTTCATTTCCAAGCTTTTTCCAAGCTGATTTCTGGCAGAGTGTTTAAATTCCGAGATAGTTTCCAAGGTTTTCTTTATTTCCAAGGATTTTATACCAAAAACCTTGGATAAAGTTTCCAAGATTTTAAACAAAACCTTGGAATTTAATAAAAACCTTGTAAAACTGGTTTATGTCCAAGGTTTTTGAAGAAGTTTCCATGGTTTTTTTCATAAACCTCGGAAAATCTACACCCGGGATGTTTAATGTACAAGGTCAGGGAAGAAGTAAAGATTTATATTACATTCAAATACCAGTTATATTATTAGTTATAAAGATCGTTGACAGGTTATGTGGCCCTATATAAACGGCTATTTGTAAATATAACCCGAGCCGTTAGGCTAGGGTTATATTGCAAATAGCCGTTTATGTACGGCCATATAACTTGTCAACTATCTTTATAACGAATTTATAATACAGCAAGCATCATTTTTAGAGAAATAAGTAAGATTTCTTCATGAATCGACAGCAGCCGTGTATATAAAACTATTATAAACGTCACGATTATCCAATGAAAAATGACATTACAAACGTGCAGTATTATAAGATATAATATATGATTGGATAAGGGAATGGTATATGTAAATACCGGTTATATGATAAATATGGAAAGAGAATGGTATATATCAATATCAGTTATATGATATACAGGAAAAGTGAATGATATTTATAAATACCAGTTATTTGATATATAGGACAAATGATCAGTATATGTAAATACCAGTTATATGTTAAATAGGACAAGGAATTGTGTAATAAATACCAGTTATATGAGATATAGTACAGGGGAACAGTATATGTTATTACCAGTGATATGATATTTATGGTAAATATATGTTAAAGAGGAATAGTAAATTTTATATGTGAATACCGTTTGATGATAAATGGTATACATATTTTTCTCATTGAGATCATTTACATGTTATATTTTAGAGATTCCTTCTTGGATTGTTTTATATTGTAAAGATTGAAAAAAGTGAGAAAAATTGTAATGATGAAAAACGATTAATATTTACAAGTTAATATTATTAAAGTCAGTATCAAAGTATTAAAGTGTATAGTGAAAGGGACTCTACTGAGGATATCTTACATGTATGGAAATATATTTTCTTGATGTTAAAATGATAATACAGAAATATATATACAGCGGATAGGAAGCTTTGAAAATAGACAACAGTTACATTCAGACCCACAAACCTTTGCCCTCTTCAGTGATAATTAGGTTTTTCCGCTAGTCTCCGATTTTCATGCTCTTGTTAAACTTTTGCAAATAATTGTTTACATTGCCGACATGGATTTTCATCAAAGAATTATTTGTATTGAAAAGTGTGTATTGTATGTTTTACGATAAAAAAAACTATTGTTTCTTGTATAAGTAGAAAATGCTTCGTCTTTTTTGTCAATGTACCTCTGGGAGTTCATTATGGCGGTATTTTAGATACTTTTTCCCAGGATGCACAAAATCTCTGAAAATCCCGCCACATGTTATAACTAACATGAACACAATCCCGCCGATACTGTATTTAACTGTATGAGGTCACAGTTTCTTCTCCATGTATATTTAGCTCAATGATGATAGGATGTGAGTTATATTCTTGAGGTTTCATACTGTTTGATAAAGATCTTATGTCAATAACTTGTGTTCGAAAATTCAGATCATTCGCTCTCTTTGTTTTCTTTAAAATACTAGTAATCATATAAGCTCATCTTTTAAGAGAATAGCTAGAACTATGAAGTACTTAACCAGGTGTTGCATTGGTATCACGTTTTAGTTAAGTTTTTGGTGCAAGTTGTTTTTCAGAAACTACTGAAGGAAATGAGTTGACATGCTTGTTCTCTTTTATTATCTTACAAAGATTATCACAAGTCCCATAACTCTTGATTTATTTTTTGATGTTTAAGCCCCATTTTAAACTTAGAAATTCTTGGTTTATTGTTTGCATGTTAGCCGTATCTTCACTACTACTACTGAGGGTTGGATTAGAACTTAACACATATATGAGAGTAATAAGAATTTGCTGTCCGAGGACCATGAACTATAACATAGATTTTGACAGAATTATTGCCATTTGAAGTTAGAAATTTCTACATTATCCATCACTGTGGATAGTTGAGCACACTGTGCTTTCGAGAGCTCTTGTTGTTCAAAATGATATAAAAAGTGTTCAAATGTTTATAGGTAAAGTCTGTCTGAAAAAAACAGTTCATTAATATCGATTTTCAATTTTATTCCGAGTATATTTCTTTAGTATCATTTTTATTTTTTTCCATATTGAATACCTCGATTAATCTGTTTTGGATTTTCTCGACTATTCGAAGAATATGAGAGCTATTGTAGTCTCGTCGGCATCCGCGTCCGCGTCTGCCTTGGTTCAAGTTTTTTGTAAATTCAAATATCTCAATTATTGCTTGAGATATTCAATTGAAACTTACAATACTTATTTATAGTAACAATGTACATCAGATTGACAAGTTGGATAACTCTGCCTACAATATTTACAGAATTATGCCCATTTTTAACTTAGAAATTTTGGTTAAAGTTTTTTGTAAATTCAAATAACTCAATTATTGCTTGAGATATTCAATTGAAACTTACAATACTTATTTATAGTAACAATTTACATCAGATTGACAAGTTGGATTACTCTGCCTATAATATTTACAGAATTATGCCCCTTTATAACAAAGTGATTTTGGTTAAAGTTTTTTTTGTAAAGTCAATTATCTCAATTATTGCTTGATATTCAATTGAAATTTGCAATACTTTAGTAACAATGTACATCAGTTTGCAAAATTGCAAAACTCTGCATGCAATATTTGCAGAATTATTTGCCCCTTTGAAACTGAGAAATTTTGGTTAAAGGTTAAAGGTCTTCATTGATATTTACTTGAAACTTTACACATGTACTTAGGATCATAATTGGAGAGTCATAATTGTATGTCACTGACCAATTTCCATAACTCTACTCGCATTTAGGCTGATTCATCTCCCCTGTTCTACTTAGTCTCTTGGTTAATGTTTACATGCAAGTTTTACATATCTCAATAACTATTAAAGATATTTATTTAAAACTTCACATATGCATTTAGAATCATAATTGTAGGTCACTGACCAAGATCCATAATTCTATCTTGTATTTAGACTGATTTTTCTCCCCTTTTTCAACTTAGAAATTTATGGTAAAATTTTGCTTGTAAGCTGTTATCTCCATAACTACTGAAGAGTTTGTGCCTTTTTTGGGACATGTTTATGCATTCATAATAATAAAGCAGTGATTTACTTGATAAAACATCTTAATAACAAGACTTTGTACCTTTTCGGTCAATTTTATGTATTCATAGGTAATTAGCATTATTATACTCAATAAAACACCCTTGTGACAACTTTTTGAATAGTCGAGCCGATACTGTCGTCCGACAGTTCTTGTTATTCTTTATTGTTTGGCTTTTGAACCTCAGTGGAGCTCTTTTAAGTGAACTTTTTGCTGTTTGTGTTAGAATGATAAATTTTAACGCAAGGCAAGTATACATATACCTTGCTGTAAATTTACATGTACTATTATATGTTGTTACTACATAGACATTATAACATAATTTTGAATCAAAACAAGTTATACACCATAGTCATGTAAATATGATTTCATTATACCTTCATACATATCCTTAAAGAGATGTACAATTGAGATAAAAATATACATGGCTGTGGGGTGCAAGTGCTTATTGACTCTTCAACTGGCTTTATTGCCTCTCGGTTACACCTCGGGGATATATACCAGTTCTCAGCTGCCCCTCCGGATATATATCAGTTCTCAGCTACCCCGCGGGTTATATACCAGTTCTAAGCTGCCCCTCCATGATATATATGAGCTCCAGCTGCCCTTCCAGATAAATACCAGTTCATAGGTGCCCCTCGGGGATAACAACAAGTTATCAGTTACCCCTCGTATGTATATATATATATATATATATATATATATATATATATATATATATATATATATATATATATTATATATATATAATATATATATATATATATATATATATATATATATATATATATACGAGGGTAACTGATAACTTGTTGTTATCCCCGAGGGGCACCTATGAACTGGTATATATATACACCAGTTCACTGCCCTTGGTGGATATATACCAGTTCTCAGCTGCCCTTCCAAATATATACCAGCCCCTCGGATATGTATACCAGTTCTCCCCCTTGGTGGATATATACCAGTTCTTGGCTTCCCCCTCAGGGATATATATACCTGTTTTCAGCTACACCACAGGGATATATACCTGTTCTTGTCACTGCCTTTGGGGATATATGTTAGTTCTCAACTACTGCCCCTCAGGGATATATACCAGTCCCAGCTACACCTGAGGGATATATACCAGTTCTTGGATGCCAATATGCTCTTTTACACAGACAGCCATATTTTATAAGTTTACATACATGTACTATCAGATGTTTATGTTCATAGATAATTTATGTAATTGTTATTTAACTTTTTTGGTTAAACAATTTGTCATATTTTAGTACCAAGACATTATAACATTATAGGCATACATAAGTTATATTTTTGCTAAAGTTAACATATATTATGATATGTTATTTTACATGTATTGTAAAACATATGTTACATGAAATTGCTCAAACGTTATGTTGAAGTCCTGTGTCTAAAAAAGCATCCTGGATAACCAATGCATACTGTTGTGTATACACTTTATTTGTGATTAATGTAATCCAGCCAAATCAGTACCCCTGAGTTTGGACAATGCTAAACAAAGATTTAAGGCTTTCAAACAGATATAACTATATCTTATTATGCCCCCCTTCGAAGAAGAGGGGGTATATTGTTTTGCTAATGTCGGTCTGTCTGTCTGTCGGTCCGTCGGTCTGTCCGTCGGTAGACCACATGGTTTCCGCTGATTATCTTGAAAAGTATTTATCACAAAGTCTTCATATTTCACATAGTGATTGGTCATAACTAGTAGATGACCCCTATTGATTTTGGGGTCACTAGGTCAAAGGTCAAGGGCACAGGGACCTTAAATGTCAAAATGGTTTCCGCTGATTATCTTAAAAAGGATGTATCACAAAGTCTTCATATTTCACACAGTGATTGGTCATAACTAGTAGATGACCCCTATTGATTTTGGGGTCACTAGGTCAAAGGTCAAGGTCACAGGGGCCTTAAATGTCAAAAGGGTTTCCGCTGATTATCTTGAAAAGTATGTATCACAAAGTCTTCATATTTCACATAGTGATTGGTCATCAGTGGTAGATGACCCCTTATTGATTTTGGGGTCACTAGGTCAAAGGTCAAGGTCACAGGGACCTTACAATGTCAAAATGGTTTCCGCTGATTATCTTGAAAAGTATTTATCACAAAGTCTTCATATTTCACATAGTGATTGGTCATAACTAGTAGATGACAC